ACAACACCTGATCTCAGGTACGACTTGTAGACAACACCTGATCTCAGTTAGAACTTGTAGACAACACCTGATCTCAGGTAGAACTTGTAGAAAACACCTGATCTCAGAACTTGTAGAAAACACTTGATCTCAGTTAGAACTTGTACAAAACACCTGATCTCAGGTAGGACCTGTAGATAATGCCTGATCCCAGGTAGGACTCGCAGCCAGTCTGTTTGGAACCATCTAGTCTCAGGTCCTGTGTCCTGGTCTCCTCTTCTCTGGTCTGATTGTCGTCTTTACTTCCTGTCAGTTTGTGCGGACAACAACCACGTCCGGACGTGGACGGTGACGCGCTTCAGGGGGATGATCTCCACCCAGCCAGGATCTACGCCGCTCACCTCCTTCAAGATCCTCAGTCTGGACGACATCGATGGTCATGGAGGCTGCAGCGCTGGGACGGAGATCGGTAAGAACCAAAACCAGCTCGGACCGGAAAGTTGTGCTTCAGAACGGCTCTTGAGGATTTATAACTCAATAAGTTCTGTCAGAGTTCTTGAGGTTGGTGTCAGGGGGTTCCGTTTGTTTCAGGTCCATACGGGGAGAGAGACGACCAGCAGGTTTTCATCCAGAGAGTCGTCCCGGATACCGATAAACTCTACGTCCGACTGTCGTCCAACGGGAAGAGGTGAGGGACACTTGGTGGTGTACAGGTCAAGAACTTAACGGTTCTGTTTGTTAGAACCTTCTTCTTGTTCTGAGCAGAGTTGGAACATCAGAGAACCAACTGAAACATTACCATCAATCAGTTTAAAGATCTTAAACCGTTCATTTCATTTGTTCTGCTCACTGTAGAGCCATCACACAGAACCTGTGGTACCATGAGAACCTTCTGCTGCTCCCGGGTCAAGAAGTTCTTTGATTTGACTTATAGTTTGTGCCCAGGGACTGTCTGAGGCTTACTTTTTACTCTGTTTCTGCCTAAAGTGCTGCTCTGTTCTGACCCTCTCACCTATTCTCCTCCCAAAAAGATGGAAATCACCATGGCAACCAGTGACTCAACAGATTGTTTTTTTCTTTCTTTTTTCCATTCAACCTTTATTTAGACAGGTAAATCCCATTGAGCCTCAAGGACTCATTTACAAGAAAGACCTGAATAGTTTTTTCTTTATTACCCAGCATGCTTTTCTTCCTTCTATGTTTCCATGATGGCCACCTCTGTAGATCCTTCATGTCGTGTCTAATCAGAGCTCTGGTGTTCAGGAGGATTCAGTCAGACGGTCGAACTGAACTTCAAAATAAAACTCATAACTTCCCTTCAGAATAAGACTCTGTGTGTGACAGGGTCTGTGAGGTGCGCTCGGTGGACGGGACCTCCATCACGGCCTTCATGGTTCACGAGTGCGAGGGTTCCAGCCGGATTGGGTCGCGGCCCCGGCGGTACCTGTTCAGCGGTCACGGTAACGGCAGCATCCAGATGTGGGACCTGACCACCGCCATGGAGATCGCGGGGAAGGTGGACATCAAAGGTCAGAACCTTCAGAACCCTCAGACTGTTCCGTGCTCTGTGATTGGTCGGTGAGTGATGGGTGGGGTTTCATTCTGACAGCGCTGGGCGGACCAACGGAGGAGGAGCTACTGGAGCTGCTGGACCAGTGTGACCTGGCTCTGACCCGAACACCTGACAGCACCCCGAGAGCGTCCACCTGCAGGTCAGACAGGGTCGTCACATCGATAAATCAGAAACCCTTGTGTTGTTGTTGTTTAGTGATGTCACTTCCTGTCTCTTCAGCCTTCACTCTCAGCTCAGCGACGGGTCCCGGACCGAGCGCCCCCACTCAGCAGGAGCACGAGGAGCAGTCGGAGCAGTCGGAGCTTTGGGTTCTTCTGCTTCTCTCTGCGGCAGCCTACCTCGACATGCTCCGCCCCCAGTGACGCTCGGCAAACCTGCCAGAGAACCTGCGCTCTCAGTTGGGCTGCAGAGTTTCTCTGGCTCCGCCCATAACCAGAACGCCAGCCCCCGCCCACCCAGACATCTTCTAGACCGGGAAGTGGGGCCTGTCCGCAGGGGGAGCTTCGTGGAGCGGTGTCAGGAGCTCGCCAAAGGGTCGGAGGTCACATCGGGCTTTGGGTTTGGGGCCCCGCCATGGTCAGATGGCGTGAGGCGGAGCCTGGCGGTCTGCAGTGAGTTGGATGCCCGGTTTGGCCTCAGGACCCCCACCAGCTTCACTGTGTCTCCTGGAGCTCGCCACTCGCCTGGAACGCCCCCGTATCTGTCTTCATCACAACTACCCTCCTCTTCATTGCAACGCAGGGCGCCGCCCACCTCCTCAACAAGCTCCACCCCCACAGTAACAAGCCCCTCCCGCTCTCTGACGCCAGTGTCACCTCGCCGCGGCGCCACAACGTCTTCTTCTGATTCTTCAGCATCACCTGAGAGCCTGGCAGGTCCAGATGGCGCCGCTGCCACCGCATCGCCATCCAGCCCCAAACCGCACATGAACGAGACCAGCTTCTGATTGGCTGAGAAAGACCAAACCCATCAGAACCAAACCGGCCTCAGTTCTGTTGAAGTGGGTCACCATGTTTTTTTTTTTTTCTTTTTCCACGTCGATTCTTGAAGGTTTCACGAAGAAGAAAAAACGGCTATGACCGACCGTCAGAACTCGTGATCCGTTACAGGAAGTTCTGGATCAGAGGTAGGACAATATAAAGAACTGAGAACTGGACCAGCAGGTTTAGACAGAACTGAACGTCTAATAATTTATTATTAAACCGTTGTGGCATGAAGCAAAAAATATTTTAAGTTCTTTTCAGAAAGTTTCTGAAGATTTCAGATCAAGAGAGAAGATCAAAGGCTTCCTCCTGTAAAGTGATGAAGATGAGCTGCCAGTTTCCTGTGAGTCACCTTTGACCTCTAACTGCCCTGACGATGCATTTAATAACCTGTTGAACACCGATGGTCTACTATCAGGCTCTGATGATGCATTCAAAGACCTGTTGTAATTAGTAATGATCATATTTTTTGAACGATCAGTGAAAACAATAACTCCGTTGTGTTCTACCTAATAATTCATATTTTGCTGACAAAGAATAAAAACAGGAATTTTTTTAATTCCCGTTTAAATCCAGAATTTTCTCATGGAACAAAATCTGGAATTTTTATTTTACATGTTTCTCTAAAATGTTTTGAACTGAAGTTTAAATGATTTATATTTAAAGAATGATAATTTATTATTTACACAAAACAGAATTTTTCAGGACATTATTTGTAAAAAAAAAAAGAAAGAAACTAAAACGTTGTTTTCTGAACTGTAAACTGAATGTTTTTAGGTTTATTTCCTCCTTTGGGGAAAAAAAAAAAATCTGTTAATCTTTTTTTTTTTTTTACTTCCTGTTTCCTGAAACTTGTAAAAGCAACATCTGTTTTTTCGTTGCAACATTTTTCTATTTATTAACAGTCTGAGGAGGATTTAAAATCCTCCAATTCAACAAAATTGTTTTGTATTAAAAACACGACAAACTCAAGAACTTTAATGGTTACTTTTGAAAACAGTTTATTTCACCGTGAACAAGTTCTCGCTGTCATGACAATCACTGTCCATCAAATACCGTACCACTTTATTTATAGAGCACTTAAAACAGCGACAAGGCCAACCAAAGTGCTGTACAGACAGAACAACAGGTAACACTTGAAGCAAAATACAAAATGAAGTAAATCAGAAATATAGACATAAAAACGATGCAGATAATGACGACAAACCAGTGTGGAGCATACAGGATCAAAACAGATCATCTGGTGTTGAAAGCTACTGAATAGTAGTGGGTTTTTAAACGGGACTTGAAAAGCGAGAGGGAGGGGGCCTGTCTGACAAGCAGAGGTAACTCATTCCAGAGTCTTGGTCCTGCTACAGAGAAGGCCCTGTCACCTCTGCGCTTAAGACGAGTTCCTGGAACTGTGAGGAGCAACTGGTCCGCTGACCTCAGGGAATGGGGTGGGAATGAGTTTGTTTAAACTTGTTCACTAAGCTCCGCCCCCTTTGAGGACAACTGTGAAGTTAGAGAGGAAAAAAGGTGTGGCTTAGGAGGCGTGGCCTAAATATAGTTCTGACAGTAAAAAAAATTACAATTTTTTTTTCTTTATAAAATTTGATTCCTCTTTGAGGATCTTCATTCAGAAGTGTTATTTTGTATCAAAATATTTAAGCTTTTTAATTAAAAAAGGAAGAAAAAAATTTATATTATTTTTGGCCTTTTTTCTTCTTCAAATCAGACCCAGGAAGAGGTTCAGGAACCAAGACCCATAAAGATGGTTTCTGTTTGGTTGATCGGTAACGTTATCCCGCCTGTTGCTCTTCTCAGACCTGAATGTTTTCTCCATCAGCTGACGGAAACAAACGTTTTACTCTTCTTGAACCAGTCAAATCGTCTCGTTTCCTGTCAGTCAGCTGCTGCAGCTTGTTGAGGATCCGCCAGCTCCTGCAGCTTGTTGAGGATCCGTCAGCTGCTGCAGCTTGTTGAGAATCCGTCAGCTGCTGCAGCTTGTTGAGAATCCGTCAGCTGCTGCAGCTTGTTGAGGATCCGTCAGCTGCAGCAGCTTGTTGAGAATCCGTCAGCTGCAGCAGCTTGTTGAGGATCAGTCAGCTGCAGCAGCTTGTTGAGGATCCGTCAGCTGCAGCAGCTTGTTGAGAATCCGTCAGCTCCTGCAGCTTGTTGAGAATCCGTCAGCTCCTGCAGCTTGTTGAGAATCCGTCAGCTGCAGCAGCTTGTTGAGGATCAGTCAGCTGCAGCAGCTTGTTGAGGATCCGTCAGCTGCAGCAGCTTGTTGAGGATCAGTCAGCTGCAGCAGATTGTTGAGAATCCGTCAGCTGCAGCAGCTTGTTGAGGATCCGTCAGCTGCTGCAGCTTGTTGAGGATCCGTCAGCTGCAGCAGCTTGTTGAAGATCAGTCAGCTGCAGCAGCTTGTTGAAGATCAGTCAGCTGCTGCAGCTTGTTGAGGATCCGTCAGCTGCAGCAGCTTGTTGAAGATCAGTCAGCTGCAGCAGCTTGTTGAAGATCAGTCAGCTGCAGCAGCTTGTTGAGGATCCGTCAGCTGCAGCAGCTTGTTGAGGATCAGTCAGCTGCAGCAGCTTGTTGAGGATCCGTCAGCTGCAGCAGCTCATTAAGGTTAATCTAACAGATCGCTTTTTAAGCAGATTTACGCTGAGAAATAACGTTTAAAAAAAAAGACAAATTCATCAGTTTTCCTCAAGTTTCCTTTTTTACAAGAAGCTTGACGACCAAACGTTCTCCAGACTCTAAAATTCTGCCCAAACAAAACTTTGCTCAGAGTTTGGTGGACGATTGAAATGTCCCCTGGACAGCCACAGACGTCATGTGACCGCAGACGGGAAGTGGTCAGGCCTTGGCGTTCAACATCTCCAACAGCAGTTTGTGGATCGGCATGCGGCGCTGGCGGTGCGTCCTCAGGAGAGCCTGCACGACCCGGTCGGCGGTCTGCCGCAGCAGCGGGAGGCTCATCAGCAGACGACCCGTCCGGTGCCGCTCCCGGCGGGTCGACTCGTATTCCTGAAGCGCCTCGTGGAGCCCGTCCTGGAACCTCTGCAGGGAGTCCAGACAGTCCACTGGGTCTGCGTCTAAAGGACAGAAACACGGGTCAGTTTCGGACGGTTGGTCCACTGGGTCAGATGCAGAATCCTTTATGAAAAGTTAGATCAGAACTGACATTTACAGTTCAACATGATCTAATAACTCAGAGTTCTGTTGTCGTTACTTTTGGTCTTTTTTTCCTCTTTTAAATATTCTTTGTGTTTTGGTTGAATGGATCCGACGGTTGTCCTTTAAAATTAAACCAGAGCTTAGCAAATCATCCTAATCCTCTTCTGAAGGGAAACGCGTCCAAATGCAGCTGACGGTTACCCGTCAACTGACCCAGAAACACTGATTATCAATACGGAGTATTGATCAGAATTTTCAGACAGGGACAGACCCCCCAACACCACAGACCCCTTTATAAAAACAAACATGTGGACCTGATCAATGTTAAACTCAGTCCAAACCCAGAGTTCTCCGGTAAATTTAAGTCAATGTTTGTGTTCATGCTGGAGCAGGAAATACCTGGAGGTTTCTAACTCCCTGCAGTCTGACCCAGTGTTTCTGGTTCTTACAGGTTCTGGTCAGCACTGTTGCTATAAACCCATCACTGTCCAGATCAACAGCTTCAGTAGTTTCAGTGAACGGGTCAATTGTATGAATTTTGTAGGGATTTGTCTGCAGATAACAGATCTACCGACTAGTTCAGACACTTGTAGGTGTGTTGGTTCATACCAGAGTTGGCGAGCACCATGGCCTTCAACGTCACCACCTCCTCAGGGCTCAGCTTCATCGCCCGGTATCTGAGCGTCAGGTGACGCACCGCCTCGTACACGTCAGCCAATCCTGCGGCTCGACACTGAGCCTCACCCAGAGGCAAGTTCCATGCAAACATAAGCTCCTCCCCCGCAGTGCCCTGGGAACGCAAGGCCACACCCACCAGCAGCGCCTCCATCCAGCCGCTCTGCAGCAAAGACATCTGATCGACCAATGAGAGCTCTGAGAAACCTGGGAAAGGTGGACAGACAGGTGTCACTCAGGTGTGAATCTGGAGAGAAATTACTTCTTGAATGTGACTAAGAAGTTATTTTTTGGTTCAGTCCTTTATGGACCTCTGACAGGTCTGAGTGGGTCTGTGTTCAAGTCTTTATGATCCTCTGACAGGTCTGAGTGGGTCTGTGTTCAAGTCTTTATGGTCCTGTGACAGGTCTGAGTGGGTCTGTATTCAAGTCTTTATGGTCCTGTGACAGGTCTGAGTGGGTCTGTGTTCAAGTCTTTATAGACCTCTGACAGGTCTGAGTGGGTCTGTGCTCAAGTCTTTATGATACTCTGACAGGTCTGAGTGGGTCTGTGTTCAAGTCTTTATGATCCTCTGACAGGTCTGAGTGGGTCTGTGTTCAAGTCTTTATGATCCTCTGACAGGTCTGAGTGGGTCAGTGTTCAAGTCTTTATGGTCCTGTGACAGGTCTGAGTGGGTCTGTGTTCAAGTCTTTATAGACCTCTGACAGGTCTGTGCTCAAGTCTTTATGATCCTCTGACAGGTCTGAGTGGGTCTGTGTTCAAGTCTTTATGATCCTCTGACAGGTCTGAGTGGGTCTGTGTTCTAGTCTTTATAGATCTCAGACAGGTCATGAATGGGTCTGTGTTCTAGTCTTTATGGACCTCTGACAGGTCTGAGTGGGTCTGTGTTCTAGTCTTTATAGATCTCAGACAGGTCATGAATGGGTCTGTGTTCTAATCTTTATAGATCTCTGACAGGTCTGAGTGGGTCTGTGTTCTAGTCTTTATAGATCTCAGACAGGTCATGAATGGGTCAGTGTTCTAGTCTTTATGGACCTCTGACAGGTCTGAGTGGGTCTGTGTTCAAGTCTTTATAGATCTCAGACAGGTCATGAAGTGGTCTGTGTTCTAGTCTTTATAGATCTCTGACAGGTCTGAGTGGGTCTGTGTTCTAGTCTTTATAGATCTCA